CAATACCTGCAGGGCAAAAACACACCACTGCAGCACAGCAACAGAGGTCACATTTCTTTCAGAGGAACCATTACCTGCCGTCTTTGCTTACAAAAAATGTTTCCATTTGTTAATGGAATAAAACAATTGAACACCACTTAAATTAACAATGGTCAACATCGATAAATACATACATACAGTAGATGTCATAGTTCAAGGGTCTCCCAAACCTGTTTCTAGAGAGTCACAATTATTGATAGCAGTAAATCCGTCCAATTCAAAGACCTCTGGTCCATACTCAGGAGTTAGTCCTAAATAATCTCTACATTACTTTTTAACTATTAATATAATGGTGATATATAACACTGACTGGATTGGGGCTTTCCGTGACCAGGGTTAGAGATACCTGCTGTAGTGTTATTTTACAGCTGCTTATTTTTTAAGCGAGGTCTACCTTGAAGTACAACCTGCAAAAGGTCATAGAGAAGCCTACAAAGACAACTGTGCTTGAACGAAATAATGAATCTTGAATCCTGGAGATTGTTTGGTTAAAACTGCAAAATTAGTGACGTTTTCACAGCCTCCAACCAACTTTCTAAACAAGAAACATGCTATGGCCTTGTGTGTACAGCCTAATGTAATGCTACTTAGGGCAGGATTTGTGAAGGACCGCACTTTTCCCATGAAATACAGCACTATTTTTGCTTCTTCGCCCTTACTAAGAGCTCTCAGCCACATAATGGAGGCTGCCTGTCATCAGTGGGCTGGGATGCAGCTTTGTGCACGTCCCCAGGCTATATAAACTGATTACCGAACTGGTAGAAGACGAGGGTGGCAAGAGAGGAGAGGACAAGACTGAACAGGAGAGTTGGCAGGAGAAGCCACTGTGTGATGAAACCCGGGTGAGAAGACCCTCACCACTGACCGAAATTCCCCAATATGGGTTTAAGCATTTGTATGGAGGTTGGTAATCAGCCAACTGGGGTGAATGCTTTTGCAAGCACTGTATTGCCACAAAACTATAAAGTGCTTTAACCAGTTATGATGAGACAATACATATGTTATATCCTTTGACTTTGGGCAGAGTTGCCACAATATATTTAGAACAACACTACAGAAAAACATCTGGGATTGAAAGGCCTTGAGAATGCACTGCACTGGCATTGTCAAGATCATTGTGGGTGTTTTCATACACAGATATGACTGCCTGACATACTGTACATTTAATGAAACATATTGTTAATTTTTTATTTAATAAAAAACTATATACTCAGGTCCAGTTGGATTATGTTTATTCAGAAGTTAAGATGGAGAAGATAGACTTGGCTCTGTTGAGTGCATTTAAAAAAACAACAAAGGTCAAATATTGATTTATTTGTGAATTCCATTTCCGATTATTGTAAAACATATTCTATAGGCCATTAGGATGTTATATATACACTATTTATGTTTAAAAGGAGATCATCCAGTTTCTAAAGGTGTGTGCATGTAGCACCAATGATGATCCCTAAAATAGATATCAAACTGGGGACTAACTTCATTTTTGGATAGTGTACTGATAAGCTAAACTCTGGATGGCCAATCCAAAGGCCAGATTTGCTCTCCTTAATTGTTTACATTTTATATTTATGAATCATAGGAAGCATCCAGAAATTTAGAGACTAGTAATTGGAAATTACTGCATAGCAATATATATAATATACCTTACAGTGATGGGGCCCTGGGTATAATTCTGACCTAGGGTTTTATCTGTGTGGAATGTGTATGGTCTCACTGTGTTTTTGTGGGTCTCCTGCTCTGATCTGTTTTCCTCACACACTCCAGAAACATACTGATAGATTAATTGGCTTCTGGGAAAATTGGCCCTGATGTGAGTGTGTGCATGTCTGTGAATCTGCCCTGTGATGGACTAGTGTCCATTCCAGGGTGTACCCTGCTTTGTAGACATTGTTTGCCAATGCATGCTTGCATTGCAAAAAGAGGTTCTAAAATGGATGCACGTATAGCAATATTTTGTTGCTATATTATGTTGCTTTTTCTGTATGTCAGTTCATTACAAAACTCCACAGCAAGCAGAAGAAAAACAGCATGGGTGGATGCCCAAGTACAGAGTATTAAAACACACTGAGCGGTACAGTGGCTCTGTGGCTAAGAATCTGCGCCTGTGGCTGGAAGGTTGCTGGTTCAAATCCTGTGGCTGGCAGAGGAATCCTACTCCATTGGGCTTCAGAGCAAGGCCCTTAACCCCAACTGCTCCAGGGGTGCTGTATAAATGGCTGATGCTGTGCTCTGACCCCATGCTTCTCTCCCTGTCTGTGTGTCTCATGGAGAGCAAGATGGGGTATGTGAAAAGACAAATTCCTAATGCAAGAAATTGTATACAGCCAATAAAGTGATCTTATCTTGTCATTTACCAAACTGCTTTATACCATACGGTGTCGCAGAAACAAGCGCAAGTGCTAGCCAATCATATATGGGGACAATTTGGAGGCCATGGTTAAGGCAGAGGGGGGAAATTTGGCCCAGACACCGGGATAACTCCCTACTCTTATCAAGAAATGCCCAGGGATTTTGATGACCCCTGAGAGTCAGGACCTCGGTTTAACGTCTCATCCGAAAGACAGCACCCACTACAGTACAGTGTCCCGTCACTATACCAGGGCATAAGGACCCACACAGACTGCAGGGTAGGCGCCCCCTGCTGGTCCCACTAACACCACTTCCAGCAGCAACCATAGCTTCTCAGGAGGTCTCCCATCCAGGTACTGACCAGGCTCAACCCTGCTGAGCTTCAGTGGGTACCCAGGGTGATATGGCTGCTGGCACGGAGTATTATATTAATAATAACAGCATGAGTTAAACTGCTTCTGTCTCATATCATCCAGATTATAAACTACTTTGTCAAAATGGAATGTTCGTGTAGAATAATATACCACCAATAATACATCATAACTACAACAACAGCACTTGATTACTGTATGTTTTCCTGTCATTTATACAGAACAAATAATCTTGTGTTATCAAATGCTATTTGCCAAACTACTCTAACATCAGTGACATTATTAACATCATTAACAATTTGCAGCTTGGTACAGATACGTACAGTATGTCGTGTCAAAGGCTTATTTGTCATGTTAGAATATTTTTTACAATGTTGTCACAGGGGGCGGCATGGTGCAGTGGTTAGATTCGCTGCCCTGTAGCTCTGGGGCCCTGGCTCCATTTCTGGACATGGTGTGATATCTGCATGGAGTTTGCATGTTCTCCCTGTGTTTGCGTGGGTTTCGTCTTGTTGTTCCAGTTTCCTCCCACAGTCCAAAGACATACAGGTAGATTAATTATCTTCTAGGACAGCTGGCCCTGGTGCGAGTGTGAGTGTGTTTGCATGCATCCTTTGCTTGTCGGGTTAGGCTCTGGCTTGCCCATGACCCTCTATTGGATAAAGTGGTTTGAAGATGGATGGACGTTGTCACATCTGTAATATAACAATAACACAATGCTAAAGCAATGTTCACTTGGGGTATTGTTAAATTCTGACACCTTAATAATGTGTATAAAAATCTTCCCGACACTGACACTGCATATACTGTAGACTTTCAGGAGACAGAAGTAATGACATCTAACAGCATATACTATACACATTTTAATATAGAGAGCCCTGGAGTTATGTTAGAGCTTGGTTCTGGAACCTGATCTGTAAATTGAATGTTAAATAAGTCAGAAGACTAAGAATTTTAAATGTACTACTGAGCCATTTGTTTGTTTACTGTTATATACTTTGATATTAGTTAAAGCAGGTAAGAGCGTCAGCATGCGTAGGCTGCAAAGGAACAAGTAAAGGCTTATTCCATGCTGAAAAGAGAAGAAAGGAAATGCAAAGTTTTGTCTGTAGAGCCTTCTTCAGGTGTGAAGGAGTGTTTCTTTTTTTCTCTTTTCAGCAAGGAATAAACCCTTACTTGTCACTTTGATAGTAGTAGGTTTTTCTCCTACTTGTCCTATGTACTGTTCAGCTCAAAATAACACATTTTATAATATTGTATCCTGGAATAAAATGAATCATTTATAGATTAACTAGATTCTAGAGAAATAATTTACAGGGGTAATATTTACATAAAATTGGATGTTACATATCCCAGGCAGTGCATTTACAGTAATTTAGGATTTTGTAACAACTTTATACAGTACCCAACATACTCAAACTCTTTCATACTGTATGTTTTACACACCTTGTCATGGTGTTGTCTTCAACATAACCTAACCACAACCTTCCAGCAACATTTGAAAATGTTATAACAACATTTTAGAAAAATGTACATTACAGTCACAATATTTCATTTCTTCCAAGCTTAATGAAAATTAATGCATTTGATCAGGTGGCATTTGAACTGTAATGCACTTCCTCAAAGGCTATAACAGGATTTGACATTCAAAAAGGACCTACATGGCCTCATTTTGTTTCTTATTTTGGAGTTCAGTATATTGGCAACATAAAAAACACTCTGACACTCCTCTACTCTTTGAGTAAAAAGTAAATCAATAATAGAAAAAAATGTATTACAATAGGTGAGAAAAGCCGGTGCCTTCAGAAATACAACAGCTGGACATTGAGCTCAAACCTAAAACAACAGATAAAAAGCAGACCTGCGTGCGTAGAACAGAAAAACATTTAAAAATAAATACATTTTAAAAGGCTCCGAGTGTAAATGAGAAGCATTATTTTACATATTTTAATATCACAGGTTTTATTGAGACCAAAATAGTAAACATTAATTTTCATGTTTTCTTACAACACTGCTATAAGTTGTGTGCTTAAATTACCAAATGATAACAGAACAGAGATTACTTTGTTTTAAACTTGTTACTCTACCGCAGACATACTCAATGGTCA